ATAATATTAAAACTCGAGCGTCACGACATTGCGAAGTGTCTGCTCTTGTTCCTCGTATCGTACTCACTCGAGTCAATCCGAGATGGCCCGAGTGAAGTTTCATGCAAATGTTTCGTACGGAAAAAAAATCGCCCCCAGGCACGTACACAACCGGTTGAGGTCAGGCCTTCTGTATACAGGACTATTACATGTACTATCGTTTTTATAGTACAAAAGTTGAGTCACTGTCTTGGGGAGGTCTCAACTCAAAAGCAAAAAAAAAAAAAAAAAAAAAATACAAAAAATTTCTTGAGGCACTTTTCTTTCCCTTTTGCTTCTTCTACTTTCTTTCCCCTCAAATGTTCCTGATCTTTACTTTTCTTGTCCTTTCTTATGTTTCCTTATCTTATCTTCCACATTCCTTTCTTAGATTCCTTATCTTTCCTTTCATTTTCTTTCTTATAATTCGTATCTCTCTTTCATATTTCATTCTTACTATTTCTTATCATTTCTTTTATTTTCCTTTCTAATGTTTCCATGTCTATCTTTCCTTTCTTTTCTCTTCTCATGTTTCCTTATCTTTCCTTTTCCTTTTTCATCCTTAGTTTGTTTATCTTTCCTTTTACTTTCTTATATTTCTTATTTTTCTTTCCATTTACCTTCTTATGATTCCAAATTCATTTCTTTCCTTTCCTTTCTTTCTTTCTTGGAACCAGATGTGTATAAGAGACAGGATCCAGAGGCATAATGAAGTTCTTTTAAATGAAAAAGACAGTCTTGGGCCGTAGGCCCAATCCTAGGTTGCGTACCTAGGCTCTGGTCTAGGCCTAGGAAGCTCTGGCGCCTATAGACTTTTAATTTATTTTAAACAATGCAACTAACATTTATTTCCATACGAAAATATTTATCGCGTTTTTAAAATTATCCTTTTAGTCATAATTATGCCCGTTTATATATTTCGTATTCAAAATTCGAACCATGAAAAACAAATAAGATAAACTTAAAACAGTGATTAATTTAGTCTTTTTGCATGTACACTACTTTTAAAATCCATCAAGAGATTTTTGCTTTTCTTCCCTTTTTGAATTTCACACTTTTGTGTGTGTTTTTATATTATTATTATTATTAGCGCCTTGAGCACTACTGCAATGGATTTGTGCGCTTTATAAATCTTATTATTATTATTATTATTATTATATTACGACTACACTATTGTGAGTGGAAATAATATCAGTCTATTGTCAATGTGAAATCACCTCGACCTGACGAAATAACGTAAAATTTATCAGCCATATATATTGCTCACTATGAATATCCCATTAAGATATCCTGGACATGGATGAAATATTTATAGTGAGTACATTACATCGAACGTTATATTATTATTCAATTAACAGAAATGGCTTACACAAAATACTTCAATAACCATAATACAGTAAGTCGTATATGGCCTTAACAGTGAAGAGGTAGATGCAAGCAATGCAACATATTAAATCGATTATTATTGTTGTTTTATTTGTATTAATTATATATAAATTCATTATTATTACTTTTTATTGTTAAATTATTGTTATTAAAATATTATTATTGTTATTATTATTGTGCATATTGTTAGTTATAGGCTGATGTTACTACAATAACTCAATTTACTTGAACAATTCTTATACAGTATTTGTTTATTTACATTTTTGTAAACTTTGAATGATACAGACAGATAATTATTAAATAAAAAGTTGATTGACACTTGAATTTCATGTTGATTTTTAGTTTTGCTTGTAGCCTATAACTGTGTGGTGGTGATGATTGTTAATTGCAGTACAGTATAATAATGGTTACAAAGCAATTTAATTAAATAATATAGAAAAGCCAAAATCCTCTGATTCCCTTCGGAGACTGGGTATTTAAAAAAAAAAGTCAGTTACATGTCTTAATGCCAACATTTCTGTCGTGTATGTAATTGCATATAGGCCTACATGATAAGCCTACATAGCAATACTGTACTGTATACGCAATAACAAATACAAAACACAAACATTGAAGTGTTGCATGACCATTGTGAAATGTATCACCTCATTTCATCATTATTACTTAGTCAAGATTTTTATCATATTACTTATTGAAGATTAACATTAATCTTGCTTAACAATAATAGCAACATTGTAGAGTAATACATTACAGTACATTTTACCTTACCGCTCCTTTACAGTATAATTATAAAAAAAATACTAAGACTAATGATAATGATAATAATATTAATGATTATAATGTTTATAATAATAATACGGTAATAACAATGATAACAACAAATATTACAATAATAATAATAATAAAATAATAATTATAATAATAATGATAATAATAATAATAATAATAATAATAATAATAATAATAATAATTATTATTATTATTATTATTATTATTATTATAGTAATAATAAAAAGAGTGGTAAGAGATGTAATTTTAGTACTGTATGCAAAAAAAGATATCTGTGTTTAACAAATATTCGGCCTATACAATAACAATAATATAATACATATAACCATAGTTACCAACCGTCTCGCATCGTGCATTTCAAAGTGATTTCAAAGTGATTTTGGATGAAACACGCATTTTGCAGAAACACATGCGTGATCCTAAATTTGTCACGCATTTAACAAAAGTCCATGCGTGATAACGATTTATCACAAATTCAGGGGAAATGCATTTAAAATTTAAATGCATTTAAAATTTAAATAATTTGGTTGGATTAAAACTATAAAAAGTGATGCAGTAACTTGAGTCATTAGAGAATACAGTATTTCCTCGAAAGCCCTACTTATTTCACTAACGAGTTACTAAAAATTGATCAGTAATGAAATATTTATGTAGGTCTACAAAGTTTGGGTGCTCAAGTTAAACATAGGCCTACATTGAAACACAAATTGGCTTTATGTAATAGATTCAAGTAAGATGTTTCAAATGATATAAAAATGTATGCAAACGTACCTTTGGAACAGGTGTTTTTTTTTTTCGAGTTTTATTTACCTTAACGTCGACTCCGTCTAGAAAGCAGCGAGATTAATCACGCCAGGATTAATCACCACGCTGTTTTTGTATTTTTCTTGAAATTTGTATGCCTAATCACCATCGTCATACACAGTATAATAGATTCAAGTAAGATGTTTCAAATGAAAATTCATCGTAGCCATTAATTATTATCAATACGGTCCCGGCGTCATTCCTTGAATCGGGACGGTACGTATACTACTTTACCGCTTGAGTTCACGATGTACGTGACATGGGTCATATCATGTAAAGATAATTTTTTGTCCCGAATTATAATTTGTATTTTTAATGTATTACTAGAGACAGGTGACTGCATTCAACAATTATGTGGCTGTTCATTGTACAGTTATTTACTATCAACTATTTGCCCCGGCTTCACTAATTTTTTAATTGATTTAATATGCTGAATCATTATTAAGGTATATACCTATTATAGATTTCGATAAATTAATCAACAAATGTCTCATTAATCACGCTATCATAAATAGGCCTATTGAAGTATGAAGCATTATTAATTCTTTATTAAAGCATTATTCGAGCACCTTCATTATTATTATTATTATTATTATTATTATTATTATTATTATTAATATTATTATTATTATTATTATTATTATTATTATTATTATTATTTTATATATATTATTTATCAACCATTAACTTTGAAAACATGAATTAGCCTGTGTGGATAAAATTATCACAGAAAATAAATTTATAATTTATAAGATTATTTTTGAAAAATCAAATACAGTACGGTAGATAACATTTTTATTTAAAAGCAGGTTTTGCATCAACGTATTTTATTTAATATGCTGATTAATATTATTATCTCATTAATCAAACTATCGTAAGTCTATTATTATTATTATTATTATTACTGTTGTTGTTGTTATTCTTATATTATATTATTGTTATATTATATTATTATTGTTATTATTATTATTATTATTATTATTATTATTATTATTATTATTATTATTATTAATTTACGATAAAACAGGACTAGGGAGATAGGGAGCACACAAAATATTAGTTAGCATTTTGATTTCACAAACATAAGGTTATTTACTTAATTTATCATTATCAGTGGCGGCCCCAAGAATGCAAAATAGGATAGCTGTGGATAAAAATTACCACAGAAAATAATTTTAGAATTTATAAGATTATTTTTTAAAACATAATCAAATACATTACGGTAGATAATATTTTTATTTAAAAGCAGGTTTTGCATGGACGTAATTTTATTTAATATGCTGATTAATATTATTATCTCATTAATCAAACTATCGTAAAATTATTATTATTATTATTATTATTATTATTATTATAAATATATTATATTATTATTGTTATTATTATTATATTTTATTATTATTATTATTATTATTATTATTATTATTATTATTATTATTATTATTATTATTATTATTATTATTAATTTACGATATAAAACAGGACAGGGAGATAGGGAGCACCAAAACATTAGTTAGCATTTTGATTTAACAAACATAAGATGATTTACTTAATTTATCATTATCAGTGGCGGCCCCGAGAATGCAAAATAGGATAGCTGTGGATAAAAATTACCACAGAAAATAATTTTAGAATTTATAAGATTATTTTTTAAAACATAATCAAATACATTACGGTAGATAATATTTTTATTTAAAAGCAGGTTTTGCATGGACGTAATATTATTTAATATGCTGATTAATATTATTATCTCATTAATCAAACTATCGTAAAATTATTATTATTATTATTATTATTATTATTATTATTATTATTATCATTATATTATATTATTAAATACTATTATTTATACTATAAACGATTTATTCCTTTTGTATATTACGGTATTATGACCCGTACGTATATACTAGTGTTTAATATTATCTACGTGTAGTGGGTGAGAAGTGGGAGGGGGGACAATCGATATGATGTCCCCCCTACCCCCTACTTTGAAAAGCGGGGGTGAAATGTCCCCCCTGTACCCACCGATCGACGCCCATGGGTGGAACAAGTCTTCTCGGATAAGGATTTTAAAACGTAGGCCCAGTGTACGCTTGTCTCGTGTGCACTTTAAAGAACCCAGTACATTCTTCGAGAAGAGTAGGGGGTTACCCCGGTGCATTGGTCCATTCAGTCACCTGTCCCCTGCTATATGCCACATAGGATAGTGATAAAGTTCACTTATTGGCATATCTTTGGAGCTCTAGCCTAAAAAAAGAAATGAAAATGAAATGAAT